CTGTTCGGGATCAGAGGTCTGAGCACGGGATTTTAAGCTGCAATCTGAATTAGAGACCTATTGGGATTGTGATTACATGATAATAACTCCAGCTGTACATGCTAAGGAATCCCAACTCTTTAGGCTACTTGTGGATCAAGATTAAGGAAGTAGAGTTCAAGCCAACTTCTACTATCCTACTCCTACTAGGATTGTGTTAAGAGAGGCCTATAAAAAAACAGCAGGTCCCTAGGAATTACTTGGAGCGATTGAGAGGGAAAATAAAGAATATACGGTGATGTAGAGCAATCCCGTCGCGTCCCGGAGCTTCCCATGCGTGAAGAAGGTTACGATCTACATGAAGGAGGAGATATTCAACGCCAAACAGAACTGAACGAGTGGGCTGCCAACACGTTTGTCCTCGTGATCTCGGTGGAGATGTGATAGCCAAAGCGGATCTGAACAGAGTTCGGGTTAGAAATCCTAGATTAGGAGTTTTGTCGTAGCAATTCGGAGAAGTGTGTCTCATCATGTTGTTATGTACAGGTGTAACTTGCATCTAGTGATTTAGTGGAGGGCTATTACACGGACGTGGGTCCCGCAGATTAGGAGATTTTTCTCCGAACTACGTAAACATTTCTGGTGTTATTTTTTACGCTTTTTACAGTTACAGCAATCGGCCTAGTGGGCGCTGTAATGTTCTCTGCGTCATCTGCTTCTGTGTGTGCTTGTGACAGAGAAGTGTTATAGCAGACTGTCTGTCATCTGTTACTGTGACAGTGATGCAGCATCTTCTCTGCAGCATAGTTGGTTGATTTGTGTGCATAGCTTTCAATTGGTGATTTCCGCTGCGCTCCCACGAACTTACAAAGCAAACCTCAAAAATGGAAAGAGATGAACTGGTAGAGGAAGAAAGAACAACAGAAAACAATGAAAAAACACCACTTCCTTCATGGTTAAAAAGATAAGAATGAATCCGACAAGGAATTTTACCTGCCAAGGACTAGCTCTTTCAGGCCAGAAGTTGGAAGCAGAACTGAATAGCTTTGGCCCCCCATAAGCACTATGAACTTCTTCCATACTATTCGCACTCCTCGAGAAAAACTCTTCGGCCCCAAACCCGAAATCCATTCTCTCTGAATCCGAAACACTAACCTTCCCAATTCCACCCTCAATCTCACAAGAAGAAATATCAGTAGAACCCATCAAGCTCAACATCTCATCTCGCTCGCCCATCTCCTTATTCATCTCCTCCAAGCACTCCTTCAACTTAAACTCTGAATTCTCCAGTTCCTGCACTCTCCCCCTCAGCCTCTCGATCTCCTCGCTCCCCTCCTGGATCCGAAGCAATAGCTTCCTCTCTTCCTTCTGCGGTGGGTGATTGGATTTTTAAGAGATAATGTCACTGCTCTAAAAATCCTTAAAATAACAAAGATGAAATCGAAAGTGAGATGATGAACCAATTACCAGGATCATTGCATAAGCCTGAGCGGACGATTTTAGCAGACGGCTAGTGAATATCGGCAATTGCATCCTCCGAGAATGGTGAGAAAGAAGAACGGTGAATTGAACGCTGAGAAGAAATAGAGAGCTAAGGTTTGATATTAGACGGCGCGCGATGGTGGTGAAAAAGGATCGCAAAGAAAAGATAGGGAGTATGACTGACTCTAGCAAATAAAAATAAGAGGATGGCATCGGTTGAGAAAAAAGAATCGATGCATAAAAACTTCACTTTAACAATATTTAAAAATTAAAAAGTATTGGCATCGGTTATTTAAAATTGAACTTGACTCCGGATGTTATGAGGGAGGCCTTGAAGAACCTGGAGTACAAGAGCATGTTCGGTGACAGGAGCATCCACGTCGTCCAGGTACTCGGAGAGATTTTTGAGAAGACGACAATATTCGTTGATGGAGAGTTGGCCCTTGACAGTTGTACGGAAACGATGCTCTAGTTGCATCGCCCGGGCGTGCTTGTTGTCGTGAAAAAGATTGTAAATAGCCGTCCATAGTGCATGAGCAGTGAGATTGTTGGCGAGCACAAGGTCGGAGACTTCATCCGTGATCGTAGCCAAGATCCATCCTTGAATTAGGGCATCAAATTGATACCATTCAGCATCATCTGCAGAGGAGGCACGGGTTGTGCCATCGATGTAGCCTTTGAGGTTGAAGCGGAGGATCAAGAGACGAAACAATCGATGCTAATACTTATTTTAATTTTTTGATTATTTTTTAATAAATATCAATAGCATCGTTTTTTTAAAATAGCCAGTGCTTTTTGTTAAATATATTCTTACTATATTTAATACTTATGTATATTGGTAGCTTCCATAATTGTATAGGGTGTAATTAATATTGTTTCCTATTATCATTAGGAAACTCCTGTATATATACACATGTAATCTCCCATAATAATTCAAGTGAAAATATTCATTCTTCATGGTATCAGAGCATTAAAAATTCCTGGCTCCCTCTCAAACCCTAGTCCTCTCTCTCGGCCACCTCTCTCTCTCGGCAATCTCCCTCTCTCTGCCGTCCCTCTTCCCCTTCTTCGGCAGTCCTTCTCGCCGGCAACCATAGCCGAAAAATCCTCCGTTACCTCTGACAATAACAACACCACCAAATCTCCCCACCTTGCCTTCACCACAATCTCTAACATTACACTCCATATTCCTGTCCAACTCAGTCTCTCAGAACCCAATTACAAAAAGTGGAGTCGATTGTTTCGTCTCTTGATCCTCCGCTTCAACCTCAAAGGCTACATCGATGGCACAACCCGTGCCTCCTCTGCAGATGATGCTGAATGGTATCAATTTGATGCCCTAATTCAAGGATGGATCTTGGCTACGATCACGGATGAAGTCTCCGACCTTGTGCTCGCCAACAATCTCACTGCTCATGCACTATGGACGGCTATTTACAATCTTTTTCACGACAACAAGCACGCCCGGGCGATGCAACTAGAGCATCGTTTCCGTACAACTGTCAAGGGCCAACTCTCCATCAACGAATATTGTCGTCTTCTCAAAAATCTCTCCGAGTACCTGGACGACGTGGATGCTCCTGTCACCGAACATGCTCTTGTACTCCAGGTTCTTCAAGGCCTCCCTCATAACATCCGGAGTCAAGTTCAATTTTAAATAACCGATGCCAATACTTTTTAATTTTTAAATATTGTTAAAGTGAAGTTTTTATGCATCGATTCTTTTTTCTCAACCGATGCCATCCTCTTATTTTTATTTGCTAGAGTCAGTCATACTCCCTATCTTTTCTTTGCGATCCTTTTTCACCACCATCGCGCGCCGTCTAATATCAAACCTTAGCTCTCTATTTCTTCTCAGCGTTCAATTCACCGTTCTTCTTTCTCACCATTCTCGGAGGATGCAATTGCCGATATTCACTAGCCGTCTGCTAAAATCGTCCGCTCAGGCTTATGCAATGATCCTGGTAATTGGTTCATCATCTCACTTTCGATTTCATCTTTGTTATTTTAAGGATTTTTAGAGCAGTGACATTATCTCTTAAAAATCCAATCACCCACCGCAGAAGGAAGAGAGGAAGCTATTGCTTCGGATCCAGGAGGGGAGCGAGGAGATCGAGAGGCTGAGGGGGAGAGTGCAGGAACTGGAGAATTCAGAGTTTAAGTTGAAGGAGTGCTTGGAGGAGATGAATAAGGAGATGGGCGAGCGAGATGAGATGTTGAGCTTGATGGGTTCTACTGATATTTCTTCTTGTGAGATTGAGGGTGGAATTGGGAAGGTTAGTGTTTCGGATTCAGAGAGAATGGATTTCGGGTTTGGGGCCGAAGAGTTTTTCTCGAGGAGTGCGAATAGTATGGAAGAAGTTCATAGTGCTTATGGGGGGCCAAAGCTATTCAGTTCTGCTTCCAACTTCTGGCCTGAAAGAGCTAGTCCTTGGCAGGTAAAATTCCTTGTCGGATTCATTCTTATCTTTTTAACCATGAAGGAAGTGGTGTTTTTTCATTGTTTTCTGTTGTTCTTTCTTCCTCTACCAGTTCATCTCTTTCCATTTTTGAGGTTTGCTTTGTAAGTTCGTGGGAGCGCAGCGGAAATCACCAATTGAAAGCTATGCACACAAATCAACCAACTATGCTGCAGAGAAGATGCTGCATCACTGTCACAGTAACAGATGACAGACAGTCTGCTATAACACTTCTCTGTCACAAGCACACACAGAAGCAGATGACGCAGAGAACATTACAGCGCCCACTAGGCCGATTGCTGTAACTGTAAAAAGCGTAAAAAATAACACCAGAAATGTTTACGTAGTTCGGAGAAAAATCTCCTAATCTGCGGGACCCACGTCCGTGTAATAGCCCTCCACTAAATCACTAGATGCAAGTTACACCTGTACATAACAACATGATGAGACACACTTCTCCGAATTGCTACGACAAAACTCCTAATCTAGGATTTCTAACCCGAACTCTGTTCAGATCCGCTTTGGCTATCACATCTCCACCGAGATCACGAGGACAAACGTGTTGGCAGCCCACTCGTTCAGTTCTGTTTGGCGTTGAATATCTCCTCCTTCATGTAGATCGTAACCTTCTTCACGCATGGGAAGCTCCGGGACGCGACGGGATTGCTCTACATCACCGTATATTCTTTATTTTCCCTCTCAATCGCTCCAAGTAATTCCTAGGGACCTGCTGTTTTTTTATAGGCCTCTCTTAACACAATCCTAGTAGGAGTAGGATAGTAGAAGTTGGCTTGAACTCTACTTCCTTAATCTTGATCCACAAGTAGCCTAAAGAGTTGGGATTCCTTAGCATGTACAGCTGGAGTTATTATCATGTAATCACAATCCCAATAGGTCTCTAATTCAGATTGCAGCTTAAAATCCCGTGCTCAGA